CCCATGTGTTTCAACTATAGAAAGGGAGTCTAAAGGAACAGCTAAGCTTTCCTTTTTTTGGTCAGAGCATTATTTGCATCAAGTTGCTCTAAGCAATTTTCCGAATTTCAATGAATAATGATCACTTTACAAATTAAATTTTGTAGATGCATAAGAAAGAGATGAAAGTAGCTTTTTTTCTGCCATTACTCATTGACTTAACAGTGAGATTGTTAAATATCTCTCATGCACTGTTGGGCTGCACAATTAAGCTTGAAATCAGGAGAACTTTCTCTAACAATCCTCAGTAATAATTCTGGGGAATGATAGCTGCTGTTTACTCCCAGTTTATAGCACATGTTTGTATCTAAACGTCCATATTATCACTTAGTGATAGATATTAATTAACCAAAAAATTATGCAGCCAAGAGCACTACAGCTATATGATGTTGCATGCTCTTTATCATCTTAAATAGAGCTTGAAAATGTGAGGAGTTGCCTAATGCAACAGAATTCAGAACTAAATAAATGTGTATGACTTCTTACAGCTCCATTTGATAGTTTACATTCATTTTTGCCACACAGATGAGATAAAGGACCCTGAACCACACTCCCTGTCTGCACTACTAGCACACAGTGTTGCCCACCACTTTACAGGGAGAAAAGGGTCATCTTTGTTTACATCTTCATGGTGCTACAGAGTAGCTTACTTTTACTTTTTGATTTAGGCCTTTTTGTTTATTAGTATGAATGAAACTGGACTGCTCTGTAAACAGAAACATCTATCTTTTTTCCTAATGGTGAGACAGTGCGAAGCAGGGACAAGGTCAAGTATAAAATACTGCCTGAGAACCTTGCAGTCGCTATGTCTCCAAAGTCTCAGTCAAATCAAGTAAATTACTCTTTAATATATCTGTGAACAGAGTTTATAGCCTCTTCGAAGTCAGTCCTAGTTCTATGTTTGGCTACTTGGTCATAATAAATTTGTTTTCTGACCCATTGAGTCAAACAATTTAATTTCAAAATTAATCTTTTCAAGCTTCAGACTCACTGGATGAAATTATGAGTCCAACTGTTCCCTTTAAATTTAATATTCTGAAACTTAGTGGTCTAGTGCTTTTTGCCCTTACGTGACTCTTTGGTACTTAACTTTGTATTAGTTGGCCTCTAAAATCAAATCTAAGAAGGAGGCATCCAAATCTTATATCTTTGGGTACTAGCATTAGTCGCAAATGGTTGCTTTTCCAGCAGTGGTTCCTTTTAATCGGTATTATTATACACAGCAGGTTGTCATTATACAAAATTCATTATGTGCATTTGACCAAGCAAATTGGACAAACAGGAGCAGGAATGCATATTCGGGTTATTTGTGTTTGGTGGTGGCAGTGGTGTTAATTTTCATCTTCTTTCTAAATTGGATCTTGTCTAAATACTTTGGGTTTTGCTTGATGGGGTAAAAGCCTCAAATTTTTGTTCATTTATTACTAATAATTTAGATAAACTTATTCTGTTGAGGGAGCCTTTATAATTTCAAAACATATATATTTTCTATTCCTGCAAGGCATGGCTGCTGGCTGATATAATTTTAAATGGTCATGACTTTAAAATACCTGGAGCAAAATTTGCATTTCTTATAAGAAAAGCAACTTAAGGTTGCACCAAACTTCGTCCTTACAAAATTCCCATTCCAGGCATGAGGGTCCCTGACAGCCCTGGCTATGCATGGATGCAGAGGACACAGGGACCCAGCTTCCAGAGCACAAATAGACAAGACTCCAGCAGGACAAAAGGCAGGAAAGCCTGATAGGCACCTCGGACTTAACACCTTGGGTTCACAGCTCCCAAGGCCAGGAAGGCACCAGCTTATTCCAGTGTGTTGGTACTCTTGCCAAACCTAGTGGAGGAAAGGGCTGAGAAGGAGTTAGAAGTTGGGAGCAGCCAGTGCCCAGCTGACCTGGGGCTTTGTGGAGCACTTTCAGGACACTGCAGGGTGGGCTCATGCCAAGCCTTCTCCCACTTGGGAATCTGTGGCATGCAGCACTGTAGTGTGCATTTGTCCTGTGTATGGGAATAATTTTTTTTTTTATTAGAATGGTTACAAAAGTCCTCATTCTGAACACAGCAATTGCCATTCAGGGATGGATAATTCACAGCATTACTTAGTGCTGTTTTAAGGCATTAGTGATGACTAACTCTTTACTGCTTAAACAGTCCTATCAACTCAGGCAAGCACTTATTACAGCACTTCTTATCTAGGGGAGGGAGGGAAGACTGTTTAACGTGATCCATTAGGAAACTCAAGCTTTAAATAAAGTGACCACAAAGTCCTATCAGCTCCCAGAAATGCAGCAGCTGTACATATTTAATGTAATACAACACTATATTGTGGCAGAGATCCCTGTTTAAAACATGCATAAGGCAGGTGAAACGTGACTGTTTTGCTCCTCTGTTTGAAAAATGAGAAAGTGTAGAGTGGCATAACTCCTTAAAATACATAAATAAGCATTAGAGTCAGGGAGAAGACAGGTATGCTGTTGGAATAGCAGTAACAGAGCAAAGGTCAGCAGTTAAATCTGAAGCTATTGCATCCTGGTTCTTTTGATCTTATTCCTCAAGACTCCACTCTGTTACTAACAGGTGAAGTGCAAAACCAGAAGCGTAAGTTCTACTGTGCTTGTCTTCATTTAACAACAGCACTTCCTAAATATTCTGATCCCAGATAATCTAATGCCATAAACATACATGCAAGGGGCAGCTACAGATTTCCTCTGCTCAGTCAAATCCTGTGAAATTACAGGTTCCACAGGTCCAAAGAGAAAGAAAATTCAACTCACTGGCTTAGCTTTGAAGCAGAGCCAATCAACATGATAATGTTTTCTCACCATGTTTTGCCAAGTCCTCCCACATGACATTTTGTTAGTTTGAAACCTCTTTAGTGAATAATAGGACATTTCACTGGGATATGCTGGTATATGAAAATATTAGGAACATCTATTGTGTTTATATACGTATGTGTGCATATATTTGTATATGTGTGTGTGTGTGTCTATACACATACAAAATAATGAATACAGACATCTTTCTGGATGGAAATATTTGGCATCTCCCAGAAGAAGCTAACAGAGGTGTAGGAAAGGGAACCAAGGAGAACATGAAGCTCTAATTCATCCTTTCTCATAATACAAGGACAAGAAGGCCTCCAATAAAGCACAAGGGTAATAAATAGTAAGTCAGGAAAAAGGGAACTTTTTCATATACTGCCTCACTGATTGAATTCATGGTCATAAACTATTACTGAATTCTACTACTAATGGGTTACTAGAAGGTTGAAGTACATCTATGCATTATGTTAACATGCATTTATTTTCATTTAGTGGAGATCTAAATCTCTTATTTCAGGATCTAAGCTGTAGATGAGAAAGAATACATCAATTCCTTTCATCTGCCTCTCCAAGGTTTCCCAAATTATCTGGTACTCATCAGTTCTGGTCACACAGGACCACCTAACCAGGATCACTGACAATGCCTCCATTACTAGGAAGTATCTTATCCATGTAAATTTGTGCCTGGAAGTCGCAGGAGCATCAGCTGACAGAGATCTGTATCCTGTCAGCCCAGAGCGTCTGGACTGTGCCCTGCACATTGTAGGGCACACAGAACTGCATGTGACAGAAGTGCACATGTGCACATGCACATACATCCACGTGGATTTATTTTCAAATGAGGAGCATCTAAGGAGCATGTATTTCCCTCCTCTACACTTTTTCTAGATAAGAAGAATGTAAACAACACTCTTCACAGAATACTCATGTGACTTTTACTTGTCTGTCTGCTCCAGTAGACACTATGAGCTTGATTCTCCAAGACTGCCACTAAAATTCCACTCTACTGATTTTTGCAACCTAATTCTTCAGGCTGTTTTTTTTTTTTTTTTTTTGGGGGGGGGTTTGCAGGATGATGTGACCCAAATTTATAAAGGAGGTTAATTTGCTCTAACATTGCATCTTAAGTCTAGAAACCATATGTGCTTATTTGTTATTATGACAGATGTAAAAGACCAGATTTAGAGACTTGAAGTCAGTTTGAACTTGACAGGCTTGGAATGGCCTGAAGCATGAGGGTAAATGGCATCACTTAGGAAGCCAAAATGTAAAGAGCTTTATGAATGATAAACATTTCTAAGATAATAAAGTCACCTAAAGACTCACACTATTAAGCATAAAAAGGACATGGTTACTTTTTAACAACTAAAAATTTCAGGTGTTTTTTTTCTATTTTTCTTTAAATGACACGCTACAAATACTGCTGCAGAAAAACAGCTGCTGAAGTAACCTAGAGGGCATTTTCAGACACTGTGCTTCAGTGATTACAGCAATTTTTGTAGACATTCAATATTAGGACTGCTTCTAATTTGAGATGGAGTTAAATTTAAATTGAGTAGGAGGGGCATTCACGTTACTCTAGATGTTCTAACATTGCTTACCCCAACCCAAAAACTGTATAGTGTCTGTATTTTGTAGCAATGATAAGTTATTAAAAATTATATACTTTTAAAGAATGAAACTAGAGCTCACTAGCAGCAGTGAAAAAGTATTGTGATGGGACTGAGACTTTGGCCCTAAAAGCATTTACCACTGGCCATGATCCCAATGCCATGGGACTTGGTGGCACTGTCATACACAACCTTTCTCTACTAATTTCTTGGATACTTCCTCTTAGTTGTCTATGTGTAGGAAGTATCCTGAGACTCTAAGGCCAAATTCAGAGTCTCATGTTAATGCTTCTTAGTATTTAAATTTCCTGACCCTCACAAACCCCAAGTATCAAGCTGAGAGAAACTGAAAGAAAGAAGGTTAGTAAAGGGCTGACAGTCCAACAGACAATACAGATGGAAAGTGGTGGGACTAGGTGAAACAGAGAAAACAAAAGAAAAGAGTTTCTATTAGATGCTAAATGAGGCTCAGGCTGGGCCTGATTAAAGCCATGTCTGTGTAGGTTACATCTTTCCTTATTTCTCTTACCTTGTTTCTCTTGAAATATGCTCTTCGGCAAGCTGCAAAGCACTTCTCGCTGCAGAAGCATTTCACTTCACTTCCCATACTCAGGGAATAGCGCTTGATTCCAACTTTCTGGCACCAGGCACACATTATTTGTACATTTGACACATCATCTTCTACAACAAAAATATAAGAACAATGTTTACATGAGATGCAAACACCTTCCTCAGACATCTGCACACTTACTCTTAGATACAAGCAGCACCAGCTCATCTCATTGCTAACTCCCTCACTGCCAGAGAGCAGAACTGTGCCTGCCTGTGACCACCACCTTCGTCCTCAGGCAGCCAGTGGCCTGTGCCAGCCACACTCAGCAGCCTGGCAAAGCTTCTAAAATGGCTGGAAAAGATGATTACCTCCAAAAATTGTGCACTGCTGAAAAGGTCTGTAAATCTCAAGAACTCTTTAGCATGCTTAAGAGCGCAGGACTCTTTATTAAATGAGTAACCAAGACTGAAGGTTTAGTGGGTATTGCTGTTTTGTTGTTACTTACAGTCTGCTGTAGTGAGTCCCTGAGATGCTCTGCTCAGCAAGCTGGTGATAAAACACAGCCAGAAGGTGCTGCACCAAGGCAGGTCTCTAACACGAGCCCTCTTCTAAATAAGAAGGAACATAAAACACCCCTTTTCTGTATTATTTTGAAATTACTAGCATACAAAACAGGGAGCTTTGGTGTGAATTCAGCAGTCACAGAAACATAGACTTGAATGAGGCAGAAGTTGCAGCACTGTGGCAAAATCTGCTAGGTTACTTTATAATCATTATACTCATTGGTCAAATTTTACTTCAGGCAGAGTTCACAAGCCTCTTTCAAGCTCTTCTCTAACATGTGTTACAAATGTGGCATGCGTGCCTTCTGCCCATGTAAAAATACCACAGAGCTTATTTACTAACGTAAATATCCTTTTGCAATATCCTTTTGTGGTCATCATTCCCACCTCAGCTTCACAGACAACAGCATTGAATAGTCAAGCCTGCTGAACAGATCAAGTCAATAAGTTAGCAGGAATATTTCTGACTTAAAACTCAGAATTCTTCAGTTCTTATGTCCAGTTTATGATACTGAATGACCTTTCAGTTACAGACAGCAGCCATTGTCTAACTTCTGGGAAAAAACATCCCTGGAGACTAATTGTTAAACCAGTTCCTGGTCCATGAGCTGTGGAGAATTCATAGCTTAGAGATTCTGTCATGCAGCCATCCTATTTCCCTATAAAGGATTTGTTTTTGAAGCTACGCTGTCATCGTTCTGTAAAATTATTGGCAAACTAATTTTTAGCAGAGTGATTTGGCTCCTTTCCCTGACTATCATAACTCAGAACTACGTGCTGCATTTTACTCACCTTATTGGAATAAATACTGCCAGTTTAATAACTTTTTACCTTCCACAAATTGTGTTATGATTTACAGCTACAAATAAAATTCTACAATGTAAAATAATGACCTTTTAGTTTTAATCAGACTGTCTACCTTTAAACCTATATTTAAGGCCAAGTTATAGCACAGATTTGTGTTTAATGTATTGTATCACTTACCCTTTAGAGTGGGATTTGCCAGTATTATAAGCCCCTTCATATACTGAACACTAAGGGAAATCAAAACAATTTGGCCAAAATTATCACTAGCCATCTCTAGAAAGCCTGCCCTGAGCTGGTGTAACACCAGCCAGGCACACAGGGTGCTGCTGTGGTGGTTTTGCATGGGGGTCATCACCACTTTCTCTGCAGACTGGTCTTGTCCAGGATGCCAACTTCTCCAGCACAGACCTACAGCTCTTCCCCCCATTCTTGTCCTGAGTCATTTGAAGTACTTATCTTTTACAAAGGCACCCTGATTCAGCTACTTTTGCTCCATAAGAAACCAATTCCTTACAGACTGAACCTGCCCTTTTGAATGTACCAGGACAACAGAAGATCCTCTGAATCAAAGGAACCAGACAGCAGACTCTTGTTTCAGATAACAGTAACATATATTCCCCTACTGATAAGAAGCATTTTATCTCTGGAAAAGAGAAGATCTACCAGTGATACCTTTCTAATAGCCTTCATTTCTGGTGAAAGGAACTCTCATAAATGAAAAAAGAATATTACAGAGCTGAAAGACAGTTCACTGCAAAGTAGGTGCTGAAGTAGCTCTTTTTGAAGCAGGTTAGCTTGTCTGGGGCATAGTTTTTAGGGGGAAACACAGATGCACCACTGGGATTCTCAGGGGCTTTCATGAGTGATTTGATAGGGGGAACACCTCAGCTGTCATTCAATTCCTGTTCACTAATTCACATGAACGGTCTCCCATAGATGATGATGAGAAAGACCCACACAATTGTTTATTTCTAATTACACAGCTATCAGCAGCAGCTGCTTACATGGAAAAGCCACATTATTCACTTCTCTGCGCTTTTCTGCAGGTGGTTATACAGGACAGTCAGGTTCAGACCACCTCCTTCTACCAAAGACCCTCTAAGATACATCCTGGCAAGGAGAGGAGGGGAGAGGCAGAGGGACCTTCTGTGTCAGGTTGCTGTCTTGCCATGCCCTATCCAGCAGAACTTCATAACCACCTCACAGAGAATCCCTTGAAGCAGCATGGTTTCACTTGTGGTCCATGGATCTAATGGCCAAAAAAAATAGCAGAGAATGGTCTACAAACTAACACTGTATGCACTTCCAGGAAGGGATATGTGATATCCAGGAGGCATCATCAATATTAGTCAAAAGGGTCATCATTGTAAAAGAAGGAAGTGGGAAAGGGAAGGAAATAATCTAGCTATACACAAAGAACTCAAACTATTTCTCTATTCTACTCCTTTCTCACATTAGTCATGAAACAACGTAATCCTTCTCATTTCATGGTAACAGCAATAAGAGAACTAGATGTCTCTTCAATTTAATAGACTCAGGAACACTGCCACAAAAGGATTAACTGAGTGTGGCCATGTGAAGCAGCCAGAAAACAGCAGCACTTCAGAAGGGAGTTCAGAGTACACACTTCCTGGGACAGGACACTAATACATCACTTTTCAAGTCATCTTTGCTCCCTCAGGTGTACATTTGCCCAAGTCAATTTTTGATGCAACTCTAACTTTTTGTAATGCAGTTCATCAGGTGAAATAGAAAACATCCAGTGTCACATTTCTATGGACCATCAACCGAGTCCAGCCCAGAGGGAGGAAAAACTTTGTCTAAAATCAAATCCTTTCTTTCAGCTACGTGTGATGCTAAGAACAGCAGAGAAAGGAAGCCACGCTTGGTGCCTGGGAGAGTACAAAGCTGTGCCCTATGGGTGTGGATGACACTGGGGACAAAGATAAAGGTCCAAACCTGACTGTGTGCTTTCCTCCTTCACACCGGCTGTGGCAGAGATCTGAGCAGACCTTGTGAAAAGAACTAATAGGCATGTTTTGTTACAGTGTATTAAGCTTAGTGACCAAAATTCAGGACTGCAACATTGGCAGTAAGTATTACTTCATGCATTTCCACCAGCAGTGAGAAGCAATAATGTAGCCTCAAGACATCAAGACTGTGTGAAATAAGAAAAGACAGAGTCTTGGGATTTAAGTGCTGTCATCTGCTAAACACAAGCTGGAATAATCTGAAACCAGAAATTCATATCTTGCATTCCATTCAAGATAAAATTCCTCTCACTTTTTCACAGACCTTTGTTTTTCAAGGCCGAATTCTTTGAAAATCACTTTACCAGATTCCTGCCCTGCTTTCAGGAAAATGTATCAAATCCCTGTTCCTAGAGCACTCAGCTAGAAGAACTTGCTGCTAGGAGATCACAGGGAAGTAGGAAATTTTCAAATCCGGTAGTTTAAGACTGGTTATCTGTCTTCAATCTTTATTCTAATCTTTTCCTGATTAGAACTGCACTAAGAAAGCTTCTCCTCAATAATTATACCAGTTTACTACATCAGCAATGTCTCCTTTGTTCATACTCAGTCTTTTGCTGGTAGTCTAGCTTAGCATATCTGCTTAAAGTAACATGAGCTCATCCTGACACCATGCCTACATCCATCATGTGAGCTCCCACTGGAGCAGCTCTCCTGATGAAGATCATTCACCATCACTTTTAGGACACATATAGCTATGCTGACACATGTTTGTAAAGTACAAAAATATCATTTGCAAGTCCTGGCACAGATAATATTGAAGTGAAAGAAAATACTTCTTAATAACTGCTTTTTTCCCCCCCTCCATCTGGGCCTGCAACTTTATGACCTGCTTTTGCAAAGTGTTTAGCATGCTCTCAGATCTGTCACACTTATGACAGGTAGCATGGGCACTCTTACAGGTGAGACAAAGAGGAGATGGGACTGACACAACTGAATAGTAACAGGAGGGCTTTCAGCAGAACATACACACTGCTGTCCTCTCTAATTAGACCAGGCGATAAGAAGAAAAATTCTTTCTACATAGTGCACAAGATCTAAATTTCCAGCCTCTACTTTTCTGAATTCTCAACTCTTCACACGGAGAGATATTGTGGGAGTTATAATATTGTGATTTTCTGCCTCTGGGTTGTGTCATTACAGGTGGAAGAAATACTCCCTGCACCCACCACACAGATACTGTTCAGTTACATCTCCTTGTGGTTTTTATCCTGTGTATTTTTCATAATGAACAATGCAATAAACACAGAGTGTTTGCAGTGTTAAATCATGTTCCCAAAGGGAGTAGTTTGTATAACAAGATAAAATTATCACATTATAATAACTAAATATGCATCAGTCTAAAGCATGCTTCAATTAATCATCAAAAGTTTGCACCGCCTCTTTAGGTCTTAATTAAGCAGAATGTTTGGTATTTTTTTCCTTTCAAACCTATGTAAAGGAGCTGCAGAAAATTGTTCCTCTTAGACCGAATGAGCAGCAGTTTACACTAATCGATCTTATATGGAGCCATAATTTAAAGAGGTGTGGGGAAGTGAAGGAATGCAATGAGTTCAATGGAGTAAATCCATCATGAACAGCTCTGTCTCTTTATCTAATCAAACCAGCATGATCTATGGTGTTTAGTGCAATGTTCCTAAAATCCCTACAATTCTGGAGTTAAATCCTGATCAGTTTACTAAGTTTTAGGTTGCAACACTCTACTAATGCTGTTTTGAACTGAGATAT